CACACACACACACACACACACACACACACACACACACACACACACACACACACACACACAAAGCCAAAATGATTCAGTGAACAGTAAAACACATCTTTTCTTTTGTTCCCATATGTACAGCAGTCTTCATCTTTTGTTCCTAAAAGCTTTTTAAACCGGAGGCTCATTGGTAAAATTGCAAAGAGGCCTAGTTTTCACTTTCCAGAGCAACAAGCTACGTGACAGCAAACAAAACAAGAGCAATTTCCTGGGAATTAGTTCATTATGTCAACCACATTTCTATTATTTGCTCATAATCGGAACCATTCTTTTGTTACGTTGGTATATAATTCTACTAAAAATGCCATTTTTATCAAACGTGCATGTTGTATCTGTTCCTGTGTTTAACTTAATCCGACCTACGTACAACAAGCCTGAATTTGGAACCCATCGTTTGCATTTCAAAATTAAGATGGAGAGGGAATTTCAGGAACACTTCGTGACAGTTAATTCCTGAATAATTTTCCAAATAAAAATACACACAAAAGATGCCATATTCTGTAGTATAAACAACAGAAAACCATTGATGCCTAAAGAAATTTTAGAAACACAACTCTGTGTAAACATCTGCTTTTCCGGTGTTGCACTGAGAGCATTTGTTCTGCTCTGATGACGGCACGCATCGATGAACGAAAAACGCTCCAATCTTTTCAACTTTCTCACAATTTGCAACTTCCTGTATCCATTATTGTGTAGGTAAGTCATGCTGACTAGAGATTTGACCGTTCTGTCCACCTGCACAGAGATTAGCTGCTCAAACGCTTCCTGAGTAAGGTTTTGCATGTATGGGTAGATGGCTTTCATACATGACATTTGGATAGTATTACGACAATTATGGATACATGTATTGCCATTATTCATATTAAAGTCACACAAATTGTGAGAGAGTCACAAGAGAAAGAGCAAAAGTGCCCCAGGAGATGTTGCTAAGATATTAGAGGAACCCAAGAAAATCACAGGTGTTGTTACATCACTACATCAGTAGGTCAAAGTCCACATGAAATACTCCAAAACGATATCTTTTGTCATTTACTCTGTGTCTATCTTGACATTGGTCAAAGTCAGACTCTATGCCATAATATTTGCAGTAAATTTCAGAGTTGCACTATAAAAAAAAAAAATTTAAATGGCCAACAAAACAAAACAAAAACAGAGCGACACTGTAAAAGGAAATGTGCCTGCGAGGCTACATCACTGGGACGGCCAGCTGCACTTACCTTTTCAATTTTGTCCAGCCATTCCTTATTCTGGGCCAACTCGGCCATAAAAGCCTGGTGCTTCAGCCATTTCTTATGAAGCTTCTGGGTCTCGTCTCGACTGCTGTCCCTCGCCATTAGCATCTTCTCATACACCCAATCCCCCAGCTGGGTGAGAGACACAGATACAGAAGGAGGTGTCAGTACTGGACAGTTACAGTAAATAACTGAGGAGCTGATGCTGCACAGAGGAATTCCTCACTTTAAAAGACGTGACCAGACCAAAGCATTCATCAGTAGGTACATATATTATTCTAATTCATGCATATATGATTCCATTAATTTGTTATGCAGAAAAACTGAATTATAAATAAGGTGCACTGTAACTAAACAAGGTCAAACACACACACATTAAAATTTAATGATGCACAGCAAGCACATGTAAGCAGACACACGTGTACCAACAAGCATGGCGGCAGGGATCTACATGTGCACAACCCCTCACAGACAGTATCCTCAGCTTCAACACACCCACGCAGAAATCACCCCCCTACACACGCACACCCCCGCTCTCCATCAAAGAGCAAAATGTGTACATTTTCCACACGGGGACCATCTGCGAGAGACAAACGGTGAAAAAAAAAAAAAAAAGAGCCTCACGCCTGCGCTGAGAGCATCACCAAAATATTCAGGTCAGCATCGGCTCCCTCGTCTCTGCCTCATCAACATTCTCATTCCTGCGTGTAATATTTCCACCTGCACCGCCAGCCCCGCACCTAAACCAGATATGCAAATAGAATAACCCCGTTTACCGGCAGTGTTTAAGATCAGCAGCCCACGGGGTTGTGGCAGCTGCAGGCAGCCGCTGGTATCCGCATCCTCGCTCGTCTGCTGTCACACGCATGCAAAGATGCTCTTCACCGCAGAGCCAGAAAGAAAAAAAGAAAAGAGAGGACGGAAAGAGTTGAGGGGTGCCTTCTGCAGAGCCAAATACCCTGGGCAGTGATGCAAAGGTGAAGGGAAAACGCCAGGCAGGAGGGTAAATAACAACAATCCTGGAGAGAAGAGACAGACTGGAGACTTCAAACTGAGGCTGCGCTACCCTCTCTTCCCTCTCGCTCTGTCTCTCTCTTGCACTCAAACAGGAGAGAGAGGAGGGGCGGGGGCAGAACAGTGACGAGGGAAAGAGTGAGGATGACTGAGAGAAGAAGAAAAAGAACCCCTCCTTCCCAAAACAATAAAATGGCAGGCAGCCGAGCCAGTACGCGGGCGCCCCTCCCCTTTCCTCACACCTTCAGCGAGCGGGCAGCTGAGTGAGCGAGTGAGCCAATCGGCTGGTTGGAGGAGAGATGAAGTGTATAAGGAGAGGAGAGGGAGGAGCTAAAGCCTGGGATTAGAATTTTTAGGGGGGCAGGGGGAGCAAAGCCTCCGGGCTCACCGGTCACGGCTAATGATGCCGAGCTGGGGAAGGCGGAGGGGCGGGTGTGGACTTGGTGCACGAAGATGGATGAATGAGAGGGGCTCAAAGCTTTAACTGATTGAAGCCCATCAGTGTGCATTAACAGCTGAGCTCACGACTCTTCTACAGCTGCTTTTGTTTCATCTTCTCCTCCCTCTCCATGTACATCACCTTCTTCTATCATCCCTCTCTTCCTCTCTGCAGCAGTCCCAGGCAGCTGCACTCTCTGTCTCCAGCTTGCCTGACACTGCTGCAGTGGTAAAGCACAGAGAACAGCGAGAGAGAAACAGCAAAGGGACACTAAAAAGAAGGGGGCTGATAATGGGCAGAGAGGTAGGGAACGACTGATTGATATATTTATATGTTTGACGGCTCTACTGCTCCCCTTTCCTTAAACAGGCCACGGTCAGATTTCAGTCCACTTTCCCTCAATCTGTCACATCATCCTTCACCTATCATCACACAGAACAGACAGGTAACAGGCCTCACATATTTGCACACATACATGAATTTGCAGACAGATGTGTGTGTGCCACTTACTTGCAAAGGTCATGGGTGCAAACACACACACAGACACACACACACACACACACACACACACACACACATACTGCAACTATAGCGGTCATGGAGGGTCACAGGCTGATGCCTCTAGAGAGTGTAAATGAAATGAATGAGCAAGGAGGAGGAGAGCTTTTAGGTGCATTGGGGGAAGGATGAATGAACAGCTGACGTAAAAAGCAAAGAGAGGGACGGGGTGGGGCGTAATGGAAGAAAGAAGAGGGTCAAAGGAGGACTCAGAGTCATCATCATGCTATCAGGCTTCATCACTACTTCATCACTGTCCCCTAATTTTCCACTAATAGACATAAAAAAAAAAAAGTACATCAGGAAAGCCACCTTGGAAAACTGTGTGTGTGTGTTTAGGTTTTAAAGCAATGGACTTAAGGAGAATGTTTGGATAAAGACTAAAATTACATTTCTATACGTCACACTTTTTCACAAAACACAGGTGTAGCTATGCTAATGTGTGGTAGTGTCTGTGAAGAACCAAAGGCTCGAGGTATCGCTGTTTCTTTTTTCGCCCACAGATGCTAAATGAAAGGTTATCAGCAGGATGAGCAACACCTGAGGCCCTTTAAAACTTTCCCAATCTCGCAGTGGGTCTCTCTAATGTGATGCCAGTGTCAATGCTGAGAACAAATTTAGAACCAGCTCCACGAATTTTCATCAACAAAGAACTGATAGTGATGTCAATAAGGTGTTGGAACCATGTGACCATAGAAGTGTTTATAGGAGGGATTAATGCTAGAAGCTCTCTCCTGACTGGCCAATGCCGCTCAAAGATTCTGTCTGCCGTGATCTTCTTCCTTCTAAAGTTAATCCAGCTTCTGCAAGTAATCCTATGTATTTCTTCAACTTGTAAAAATATAGTGTTTCTCATTAGACACCAATGCAGATCTGACTCTGCCCTGTCACAGCATCAGCATAAACAGGGCTTCTGACACTCAGAGGTGTGATTCCTTTTCTGGGCTTGGCTACAGCTGTTGATGTCTTTCTTTTGCGCTCCAAATACACTGTCGCACATTCTAATGTGCCGATTCCTACATGCAATTCCAAATTCATTGCATTGCCCATTTTGTTGATGGCAGAAGACAACAGTGTCACTGGTGGTGGTCAGAGGGCCATTGTCCGGCAGCCTCGCCTCTGTCAGTGCACCCCAGGGCAGCTGTGGCTACAATGTAGCTTGCCATCGCCAGTGTGTGAATGTGTGTGTGAATGGGTGGATGACTGAATGTAGTGTGAAGCGCTTTGGGGTCCTTAGGGACTAGAAAAGCGCTATACAAATACAGGCCATTTACCATTAAATGAAAAGACCAATGAGTTCAGGGCTAATGCTAGTTCACTGCAGATATTCTATGAAAGACACCACAAAAGGCTCAAGATATCAGGAATATCAAACTCAGTACTTTTCCTCCTCAGCATGCAAAAAGTCACCCAATCTAAAAGCCTATGTGACAAAGCAAAAGCACTGGCAGGCTTGAGGGCATTTACAGAGTAACTTAACATGTGCTACATCTATCTTTATAGATACCCACTATATTTAGCCTGTCAGCCTCTGGGCATACACCTGCTCTTTACTGAGAACAGTTCAGGAAGGGAATCCAGGTGAAAAGCCACTGCATGATCTGTAACTCAGTGTACTTCTTTGGTCCCCTTTTGTCCTGAAGACATTGTTGGACTGTGAAAAAAGCGGAAGAGACAGGCTGATGGGAAACTGTAAAGATGCAAGAGGAGAAAAATCAGCTTCGTTCTTTTCAGCTTTTTTTGGGCTGACGTTGACAACATGCAGCCACCATTTCCTGATACAGTGTCACATGTGCAAGTTCACTGAGGGGCCCACCATCACCACCCTGTAACACCATCTGTCCTTTCCATCTCCCCTTCATATGGATTGTCCAGGGTATTTCCAAAATATTCATCAGCCACAACCTCCTAGACTCTACAGGATCTTTTAATAAATGCACAAACTTCTGCACAAATTAAAAAAAAAAGTATAACAATCCTTTAAAGAAATATATTTTTATACGGTCATTTCATGTTGAACTGCTCTGTCCACAAATAAAGTGGTACATGGCTTTGGGGCTGACAGTTGCTAGTAAGCACCTGGTATTATGGGTGATCCTATAAAGTGTTTACCAACCACTCCTAAATCAGTTAGTGGTTTTCTTTACAAGTCGGAGCAAAAGAGAGGTACTTTAGTCTCCCACCTCAATGTTAGGTGAGAAGAAAGGAAGTGTAGATGGTGAAATAGGTAAAAGCACAAAGAACAAAATCCAGGAACACTCGCTAAAGATCGTGCGGTGCAAGTATGATCAAAGTGCTGAATACAGGGGTGTCCTTCATCTACCCCACCGACCAGACCGAAGCGTTCAGTATAAACTGTATATGTGATGCAATTTTGGATAAAACTATCTGATTTTGTTGTAAATGTGTCAGCCAGTGGATAGAGAGCAGCAGTGAGTAACAGGAAGCACGAGGACGCAGCCTGGCCCGAACAGAAGAACACACCCTGCTAGCAGAGAGCTCAGGTTCCTACAGACTGACGCAGTGTCACTCATCCACTGTACACACACACACACACTTACGGACACACCGACACACACTCAGCCTCCTTTTGCATGCTGTGTTTCTAGAGATATGCATTCAACGCTTCATGTACACACATAAACAAGTCGTTGACACACGCACACACGCACACTCATGTATACAGTGAGATACACTCTTCCTCCCTTGAATTAGTGATGAGGGACTGAGCTGCTGAATTATGCAGGAGGCACAAAGAGAGAAAGTTGCTGAAACTACACATGGTTTTGGCCCAGAAAGAAGGAGGTGACTCTGCTGGGTGAGAGAGCAAAAACTGCAGGGGCGAGCAGAGGGGAGCCGTGTGCAGCGTAAACACACACACACACACACACACACACACACACACACACACACACACACACACACACACACACACACACACAGGAGGTGTGGACCATATCAATGATACTTTCCAACAATAGCAGCATGATTAAAGCGGGCATGCTCAGACTCCATTTGTACTGTATCTCCGCTCACTGTTAGCATGTGTTTGCATAGCATAAAGCTGCACATAAAGGACATTTTGAGGAACATAACACCTCCCCCAAAAACAAAAATATTTCAATAATTCTTTTTAACCAGTTTTGCTAACCGAGGCTTCATTAGCTAGAGCATAAAATACATTTTTGGCTATGAAATGGTGTGAAATAGCAGGAGAACGCTTTGTTTTCTTTCATAAGCAGCACAAACCCCTCGTCTTTACTGTATGACGGCCATGTGCATAGTCAGCCCCCAAAGGCCCATTCTGAGCCAGCAAAATCTCTGCAGTAACTTGAAGAGATGTTTACTTTTGAATCTAAAGAACAGGGAAGAAACTGATAAACAAACACAGATTTTTCGGGTTTTCCTCTCTATTAACGTAGGGCCTTATCATACAGTATTAAGCGCCTTGAGGAGACTGTTGTGATTTGGCGCTATATAAATAAAGCTGAATTAAATTGAACTGAATTTTTAGCCTTTTACCTCATGACAGTCCTGGAGAAACCTCTGAAGTTCCCACTGGTCATTCAGTTTTTCCAGCCACTGCTGGGCCAGCCCTCTGTTCTTGTTTCCCCTGAAAAAGCAAAGGAAAAGGAGACTTCAGTCAAAATAACTCCGATTTCATTTCAGTTGTTTAGATGTGTGTGTACATTAGAAGCATTAGGTATTTACATCAGATTTAGGCTTAGTGTTACGCATTATAAGAGTGGTTAACTGAGTATGTGCCCAACAATCGCTACGGTTGCTGTAGATTATAGAATATTTCACAAGCGTGATCAGTATCAGAGAGACATGGTAATGTTGCTAAAAGAGATCCATGTTTACTGCTGTTAACTGTAGATAAAGTAAAATATAGTCACTTTATTTCTAACAAAAGCTAATGCAGTAAAATTAATTATTACGTGAGCTAAATAAAGTCCATAAATTCCACTGTGCTTTGTTCATTTGTCTGTCTCCAGCACAAAAACAACAACATATGCTTCTTCTCATTTCTATTGTGAGGATACACTTAGAAATCTATAGCCACAAATAACCAGCCCCACCCCCCTCACACAACACGCTGCACAATCTCAGCTTTCACAGAGATTTCACGGACGGGTGTCAGTCCTGGACCAAACACACCACACTCTGCTTTCTGTCTTTTGTCTTGCTCTTGCTTTGATTTAAATCCTTTAGCTGCAATTATTCTTTGTATTTTGTTAGCGCAGCAGTTTTTGCGCTACGGACCGGTTTATGTCCGACAAGATTTTCACGGACCGGCCTTTAAGGTGTCACGGATAAGTACAACAAAATAAAACCAGTACCAAAAAAAATAAGATTTATTCATAACAAATGGGAAAGACCCAGGGAAACAGAGTTAATGAGAAAAACAATTAAAAACAAACAAACAAACAAAAAAGATAAAAACCCTGAAAATAGCAGGTAACTTTTTCAAGTTACCAACTGCTTGAAGTGCTTTCCTGTTTATAATTTGAGATTACTGTTATATACACTATGTAAATATATAACCGGTATAGTTCAATAGAGTAAAGCTACACACAAAAATCCTCCAACTTTCATTCATTCTAAATGTGTTCATAGACAGTGTTAGCTGCCAATGAGAGAATTTAAATGTTTTTATGCCTTTTTGATTAACATTAAACCTCATTAATGAAACTGAATCACTGATCATCACCGTCCTCTGTTTCAGAGCTTCTAGTTACAAACTGTCATCAAAAATGTACGGGAACAGTCCCATAAAAGTCTGAACACCTTCCTGATTTCAGTTCGGCTCTTCTCTTGCTCACGATCATCGTCCTGTACCTTTCTGTACCATTTTTCAACCCGGCTGCTATTTTTAGGTCACTGCTCCTGGAAGTCCCGTACCAAACTCGTGTCACGCTTCGGGTGAGTTGCAAGATCAGGATTGTACTCATATTTTTTTCACATTAATGAGATGTTGCAACCAGAATTTGTTCCCCAGGGTCAGACTGACCATGCACAGTTCCGCTGAGCGTGTCAAAACGATCGTGTCATCATGTGCTGGCACACCACGCACAGAAAGCTTTCTTAAGGTCAGTAGTTCTTAAGGTTCTTCTCCACGGCTCCCTCCTCCAGCTTTTTTGGAGGGATACTGAGGCGTTCCCATGCCATCTGGGTCTGCCCCAGGGCCTCCTACAAGCTGGACATGCCCTAACCACCTCAACTGGATCCTTCTGATGTGGAGAGGCACCAGCTACTGTACCTCTAAGGCTCATCTCCACTGCTTGTATCCATCAACTCTTTCAGTCTCTACCTATAACTCATGATGATGGTAGGAATGTAGATTGACCAGTAAATCAGCAGCTTCCTACCAGCTGCATCACACTGAATGAGTTGAAGGTTTTTACTCAAAGGGAAATTTGGTCAAATTTAAATCAGATCAGGGCTTTGATTTTTTTAATAGACACCTTTCTGTCATTTTTTTTTTAATCACACTTCATACTTCAGACTATTAGCACTTACATTTCTTTTCTCTATATTGTTTTGCATGTACAGCACGTGGTACCTGTTGGCAAGAGTGTCGATGCGCTCCTTAATGCGTTCAGAGTAGATGTTGTTCTGGCTGATCAGACTTTCTCCTGCCTCGATCACAGCTTTGATCCTGTGCAGGTTCAGCTCCATGGTGGTGGTGAAGTCCTTGTGTTTCTTTATAGCCGCTTCCACTGTTTCCACTGTGGTGGGCAGCTCCACGTGAGCGAGCGCAGACTCCTAGAAGATAAAGACAGGAGAAGTCACATGATTTCTTTTTTTTCTGGTTCAAGAACTAAAAGTTAAAGTGAAAGAGAAGAATAAATGTGATTGATACGAGTTAATATTGTTATTTTCAAATACTGGATTGCCGTTATTTGAATCCAGTATTCAAGTGTACATCCTTTTAGATAGTCAGCTGATCATACAGTATCCATGTTTATCAGAAGGCTATTTTTGAGGATATCTGCGTTAGTGGTATGGTAACATATATATGACCAATCACAGCTCTGATTGGTCAACTGATTTTATAAAGGAAGATAAAACTAAGACTTCATCTCTTTGTAGAATTATGAAGCAATAACACAAAAATAGGCTGAGAGCAACACAGAAGTTGAGGTGTGTGCAAAAGGAAACACGCAGTAGTTCAGCAAGAGCCACATGAATGTGTGTGCGCTTGAAGTACTTTAATCAGTGAGACTGCAATGAAAAAAAGAACATGTTGGATTTACTTAACACAGAGGTGGACAGTGGTTGCACACAGATGTTTCGCTTTGGCAGCGACACAAACAACTGAGTTCAATCAACACAAGTTAGTCATATTTAATAAACTCTGTGCAATTTGTGTTGATAAAACGTGATTGAAACATGTTTAGATGAAGTAAGTTGAGCTCTTGGAATATTTTAATCCTTCACAATTTTCTCACTTTAATCCAACACTATTCAAGTTATTGAATACTCGGTCACTTAAATACTACACGTTATCTTCATATTACATAATGTTCAACAAAGTCTAAAGTGGTTAACATAACATTTTAATAGATTTACAGCAACTTCCACTTCATCCAGCCTATCACCTTATCAAGGTTGGGCGGGCCTATCATAGATGTGATAGGGGTACACCCTGGACAGGTCGCCAGTCTATCATAGGGCTAATATGGGGCGATCGTGGCTCAAGAGTTGGGCGTTCGCCTTGTAATCTTGATTGTTGTGTCCTTGGGCAAGACACTGCCTACTCGTGGTGGTCAGAGGGCCCGGGGGCGCCAGTGTCCGGCAGCCTCGCCTCTGTCAGTGCGCCCCAGGGTGGCTGTGGCTACAATGTAGCTGCCATCACCAGTGTGTGAATGTGTGTGAATGGGTGGATGACTGGATGTGTAAAGCGCTTTGGGGTCCTTAGGGACTAGTAAAGACTAGTAAAGCGCTATACAAATACAGGCCATTTAATACATAGAGATAAGAGAGTACCCACTGCAAATTAAAAACCCAGGACCTTCTTGCTGTGAGGCAATAATGCTAACCACTGCACCACAAAGCTGTCAATCTAGACTTAACAAAAGTAGGAAAGCTATGATTACAAGGCTTGATGCTGAGTGTGTCTTGTCTGCCTTTTATCCAGGGATTTTCCTGTGGTCTGAAATCTCCTGTGATCTTGTGGATTTCATGAGTCGAGGCAACTAACCACTCTTACTAGATTGTATCATGTGATCTCGACAAGAACAAATCAAGTTGTTGAATTTCATACAGATCCCACATGATTTAATTACGTTCACCATAGAAACAGGAAATTATTTTGTTCAAATTACAAGTTAGACTTTTGTAAATGTAACAACCAATTTCCTTTTTTTGGGGGGTGTGAACAACATGACTATAATAATAATAATAATAATGTGTAACCTATTTGGACCCAGGTAGCAAAGGCATATTCTGATCCACAGCATGTTAGGTCACAGCATAAGACACCATTTCAATTTATCCTAGTAACAAGTGACCATCTTTTGTAACACAGAAAACTCAGGGTCAACCTAGAAGTTACTTGGTTTACTTTGGTTTAGGGCTCATTAGTTTCACCTGTTTGTTTCCACCTGCATCTTCTCATATGTATTTTTTTTGTATATACTTTATATATATAATCATGTCTGTTTTGTTTATTTGCATTGGCTAATTGACCTTTCTCTGCCTCGTGTTCTTCATTTAAATATTTTGTTTGTTTTCCGTTATTTGAACATCTTTAGGTTTTGGTATAATAGTCAGAAACTGAAGCCTTTAAAATTGACTCTGCAGGAAAATGGGTTTGTTTCTTTGCCATTGAGTCAAACAGAATAGAAGAAAAATAGGCTCATTCACTGATAATGAAATTCTTATTTTAACGACTAAACGAGCCCATATTTAAACTCCACAATTTAAAAATGAACATCCTCTGAAATGGGCTGTACCATAAGCAGGAAGGACTATTCCTAAAAGTAATTAGTTTGTTTTGTCAACAGTTTAAGAGCTGACTGAAAGACAACAATTGCATTTCGTCTGTATCTACAGTTGTCTTCACATTCAGAGAAAATAAATCAAACTGAGGAATTAAACAGGGAGATGAAGACAGAGATCAATGGCCTGGAACATCTTTCACACTTATTGGAAAAAATGCTGCTCTCTCTAAATCAACCCCTTCAGGCTAATAAGAAGAGCTGGTCCCTGGTAAAGATTTGTTAGCAAACTGAAAGAGACGTCCCGGCCAACACACACACGGACGCACACACATCCGCGAGCAGACACACACGGTCAGTGTCAGTTTTGCCTGTGACATTTCAGATCGGAAAACTAAACCTTTTTACATGTAATACAGACACAAATGCTGACTGCATAGCCAGAACTGACTGTTGGTCTTCACCACGTGGAAAAACTTCACCCGTAGAGCAGTTGAGGCTTTGAAAAAATATTTATAAAGCAATATGAGTATGATGTTTTAATACAGCGCTTTAATACATTATAAAAACAAAAGCCCGGCCATTATTTGACCATCTGACAATTTCTAAATCTTCTTTTCTCATCACTTTAGAAACACTGATCAGGGTGGGAGGTGGTCATATCTTCTGTTTGAAGAAGGGCAGTCAATTAGAATCAGGCTGACTTAAAAGGGAAAAAAAGAAGGTGGTTTTAAAGGGGGCGGAGCTTGTTTCACACAGAGGTTGAACTGAGAGGCTTCATCAAGGACAATAAACCACGCAAAGCTACTCTAGCAGAATTTGAGTATAAAAATATGAAGCTGAAAATCAGTTGTCACTTTTATTTTGCTAATGCGCTGAAAAATAAAAGACTGATTTTTGCAAACAAACGGGTAGTTTGTATTTGAAGAAAATCTAGCAAAGTAGAAAGTGTATAATTGGCGCAGTCCTATAAATACCACCGTAACATCATATGGTGGTAACACAAAAACAGACATGAGCATCAGAACACTGCCAACAGCTCTTCCTCCTACACTTCATCAAGAAGCTAGAAAATACATATAGAATTACTAGAAGCTGCTGCTCCAACACCCCATAACACAGACACACTGCAAGAAGACACCTGCTGACGCACACGTGCACACACACGCACACACACACACCCTCCCTCTCCTCTTTCTTTTGCTGGCCGAGCTTTAGGCCAACGCCCAGGCTAGCTGATGCTCTGCTGCAGTCACCAGGCATTATTAAATCTGTTTACAGAGACTTCAAGTTGTTTTGATGCAATAAAAAGTATAATAACAGAGTTTATTCATTATCATTTAGGCTGACTTAAGGATGAAGTAGTAGTGGTAGACTATTTTCTCATCAGATACTGACCTCAGTTCCAAGTTTAGTGTATAGTAACATATGTCCATTTCAGCCAACTCTTTCTTTTTCTATTTCTGCTCCTTACTTTGGTTCACTGTTATAAACGCAGAGTAAGTAGGATTTATTTCTGCTGCTCAAAATAAGGATAAACAAATGACGGCATTAGCTGGGCTGCATATTCTTTTTCTTTACTGATTTTGTGTGCTCTATAGAGCTCACTCTGGTCTTGTCACGGTCCTGGATCGGTGACCCGGTGTTTTGAGTTTTGTACTTTGATTTTTGGTGTCATCATGGTTTATGACTGCTAGTGTTTTGGTTTCTGTTTTGTATTTCTAGCTCTCTAGTTCTTCTTTGTTCTGTGACTTCCAGTTCTTAGGTTTTGTTCCTGTGGCCTCATGTTTAGTTCCATCTTCATATTTATTTTCTTGCGCCACAGTCAATCATGTCTCATGTCGCAGTTTGTTTCTCCTGTCTCTGTGCTCCCTGTTCCCTCTATTCAGTGTCAAGTCCGTGCCTCTGTGCCTGTCGTGTGTTTCCTGTTTTATTTTGATAGTCCCTGTCCTGTGTGCAGTGTGTCTGGTTTTGCTTCCTTGTCTCGTTAGCTCTGATCACTCCCAGCTGTGCTCTCCTTCTGTGTCTCTTTCCCTCGTTATCCCTCGGTTTATTTAAGCCCTGCTCTTTGCTGTGTTATACCCTCACGGTGCTGTGGTTTTCCTCTGTGTTTATGGTAATGTTCAGGTTCTCTGGCTCCTGGTTTTCTAGTTTAGCTTTCTTGTATCTCATGTTAAAGTTTTATCCAGCAATAAAACTGCCACTTTTACTTTATCATTCAGTCTCAGAGTCCTGTGTTTGGGTCCTGCATTCTGCCTGCCACCTTCTGAAGGAAAGATATGATGTCAAGGTAAATAAAAGCACAGCGAATATGATTCGCCCCCTCTGTAGCAGCAGTCTTGAAAGGCTCACCTAAAAGCTGCAGTGTAGAAGCATCGTCTAGGCTTTCTGTGATTGGAGTACTTAAAGAAACTTCATCAAGAACATTAGTCTACTGTACATAAGGTAAATAGTGGAGATGTTCACACAGGGTGTCAGTGCCATAAATAGGGACCCAAATTTCAGGACAATCCCACTAAAATTTCATTTTGCACCACTGACAGATGAAGTGACGCTGCCACACACACCTGGTTGTTGAGGAAGGATTCGGCCTGTTTGACGTCACGCAGGAATAGATGGAAAATGTGAGCCTGGACCAGAACTTCTCTCCTGCTTTCCCACATCTCCAGCAGCTTGTTCCAGCCGACATCGAGTTTCTGGAGCCACTGCTGCAGGGCGGCCTGTGGGAGAGGAGCCTCCTCGGACTCCAGGAGCTCATTCATGGCTTGCAGGCGCTCGTAGTCCTCTTCGTACCTGCGTGAACAGAGAGCTGCCCAGTTATTCTCTACACAGCCTGAAATAACATCACATAATATATTGTAGAAAACATTCACCTACCGTCCAATCTCTTCCTTGAGAGCAGCGTGCTCGTTGATGAGCTTCTCTGCCTCCTCCAGATTGTTGGGCAGCTGCTCTGAGGCAGCGGCGGTCTGCGTCTGGACCAACCAGGTGAGGAATGAGTCCAGGTCCTGACAAGACAGGGTAAGGAGCATGAATCACAATTCATTAATTATACATTAGTTCATACTCTGGAAGTTTGTGTAGACAGAAAAACTTTCTCTATGACCTCTACACGACATCCGCATACTGTTTGTACTTTTTCACTCTTGCGATGTGGAATTAAGGACCGCGTGCTTTCAGATTACCAGCTGCTCTTTTGTTAATCCACTGCCATTAGGTAGCTGAAACAAATTAATTATTTTTATAGCACCCACTTCTCCCCTGCCACTTTCTCAGTCTTCACAGTACCGAAAAATGGAGTCAGTTATTCCTTAATAATGACAGGTTGGCTGATAATTTAGCTTGAGGTCCTTTGGCCCTATTTAACTTCTATTCTCTTTGAAACTTTTCAAGTTGGTTTCTTTATTGAGCCCTGCAACAACGCCCTCAGTTTTTATGTAGAAATTATTTATCTAAGAGTTTATAAACATGTTTGAGGTTTAATCGTTCATAAACATAATTTCAGATTTGATTAAAGAGTCAGCAACTGAAAGACAGGCTCTAGACTTTATATCTCTGTAGGATGTTGAAGATGGAGGTGCCAGGAGAAAAAGGGAGGATGAGATGGAGGCAGATCATTTGCTGTGACGAACCCTAAAGGGGCAGCTGAAAGAATAAGAAATATATGTACATGAAGTCTTACCACTGCCTTGGTCTTTGACAGTCTACCCTCCTGCTTGCTCCTTGCTGCTGTTCCTGTTCCTTGGAATTGCTCCTGGTGTCTAGTTTTGTTCTTTAAGATTTTTTGTTTACATTTATAGCAAATTTGAATAAAGGTCAAGGTCATAGTGAGGAATAAACCTCACTTTTTGCTCGCTGATGAATTTCAGTAGCAAGTGGTGTTCAGAGTCAAACACTTCTTCCTTATTTGTACCTGTATGAAGCTCTGCAGTCTGCTAGCCACCATCAGCGAGTCCTCACATCCCTGCAGGGTCCGTTTGAGCTCCTCCCACTCCACACTGATGCCATCAAACTGCACAAGAACCTCCATTGCCCGAACCGGGTGAGCAGTGGCCAGATGCTCTGCCTCTTCCTGCATCACCAAAGAGAAACGCTATTATATGGTGCTGCTAGCCTACTGATACCTCAGAGTACTTAAAATCATATATACTTTTATACCTATTGATTGGTTTCTTAAACTCACTTAGCCACTAAAAACATGAGAAAATTAAATCCCTGAAATACAAAAAATCATCTCTACTTGTCCATTTAGACTCTCCAGTTAAGTGTAAAATATTACTTTTAGGGATAGATTTCAATTCTACAGCTGAAAAACGTCATATAAATGTTTTTTGTGTAAATGTCCTACCTGTAAGTGCAGTAGTTTGGGCTCCAGAACAGACAGGGCTCCCTCCATAGTAGAGAGGCGTCTCTGCAGGGCGAGGACCCCTCCCAAATCACTGCCCACATACTGGGTGGCGTCAATGGCTTTTCTCTTGTCCTGGATCTGGGACTTGATCTCGGCACACTCCAGCAGGTAGTTCTGCAGACGTAACATCGAGTCCAGTTGATCTTTCTTCTGCTCGACCAGCTCCACGATGCTGTTCCACCTGGAGAGGTGTGACAGACGGCGCACAATAAGACTGCAAGTGCACTTCAAGAGAGGCGAGTGTTGTTGTTGTGTGGGGGAAAAAAAACGTGTGATTCACGCCTACCACTTGCTTTTTGTAAAAGATTTGTTTTAGTTGTGGATATTTACTAAGTGTGTAACAGTTTTAGAACTGTTACACACTTAGTAACACGGTTTGATAAGATGACATCCTTAAATCTGGATTACATTTTTACCTAATAAGTCAATATAATCCAAATAAGCAGCAGACATATCAACCACCAATAACATCGAGGTGAAGCGATTCAGATTCAGTCATCTTCGTGTTGATGATGTGACGCTGTTTTCTTTGTAAGTCTATTTTTAACATTTCCTTTGTGTTACTCCTGACTTTGAAAGAACTCGTTGTTATTTTGACCTGATATGACCTGCTCTGATTCACGTGAGACACTTGTTTGTGCTCCACTCTGCTGCGGCTTCCGCTCAGCCTCACACATCGTCATCCAATATGTTCACCTGAATCTACTCCAGACCAACAGATCTCAGTACACACCCATTCAGCCAAGATACACGCGCGCACACACTCACGCACATATAAACACAAATCCTTGTGACCGTACTGAGGTAATGTCAGACAGAGCGCTCAGCAGGAAAACATCTCAGTGACACTGACCTCAGGGCTGGAAACCTGTTTTAAAAATGTTCAGTGAAAATTTTCATTGAATAAATATGTTATAGAATTGGAGTAGTTATGTAATTATTATGTTGTAGTTATAATAACCTGACTGAAAATTAGGTCACTAATACTGCTTTGATCCTGCCATGGTCTTATTTTTTCCTCCTTCTTTCAGCTGCTCCTTTTATTGTTCATCCCAGTGGATCATCTGCTATGCTATCCCTAGCAATCTCCTCTCAAACCAAATCCCTTCATGTCCTCCTTCACTGCATCCACGAATCTCCTCTGAGATCCTCCTATTCCTCCTGTCTGGCAACTCCACCTCCAACATCCTCTCTCCCTCTGATGTACTCATTTCTAATCCCGTCCATCCTGGTCAATCTCAGTGAAAATCCTGATATGTTTAATTCTGCCACGTCTAGTTTAGCCTCCTGTCTTTTAGTCAGTGCTACCATCCCCAAACCTTACACCGTAGCAGGTCTGTAAACCTTCCCCTTTCCCTCTATCCTTCTGTCACAAATCACCCCTGACACACGTCTCCACCCACTCCACCCACTCCACCCTGCCTGCACGCTGTTCGTCACCTGCATTGGCTGTTGTGTTGGATAGTTGACCTCAGGTGTTTAAACCTTACTACCTCTACTAAAACTAAATTAAAACAGGTATTGTGACGTGTTTTTTAAATACCATATAATCATTTGTAGTAGTAGTGGTAGTATTTATAAAATGTTATTAGCAAGTGTTAAATGTATGTTATGTTAAATATCAGTACTCTTGCTGACTCTTGTTTAGCTTTTTAACAATTTATAGATATATACCAAACTGTAGATATTACATCAGCAATCATTTTGAAAGACGGAGAGTAAAACTGAGTGAGCTGTAAGCACGATAAACGTCAGGAGATTAGACAACCGTGTGCTTTAGAGAGAGAAATACACCTTGAATTTTCCCTCCTACTGTTATAGACTGATGTTCTTTGTGCCACTTAAGCTGGGTAGAGTCGCACTGAGTTTAATATCATCAAATTAAGTTAATATATTATGCATTTAGGCTTTTACTACTGGAACACAATTCTATTAACCAATACAAGAGAAGGCGGTGAATAAATATGACTGCTTGTATGTTTGTTTTTGAATTTGGGACTCTTGGCCAGCCCCGTCTTAAATGAGGAAGCCAACACAGATGGTCACCCCAAGACCGACTCTCCACGTGCCAAGGTCACCGGACTCACGAACACCCGGCTGTCATGGACTCTGCTGCCAGACATAACTGGTCAATGAAGCGGGCTGAGACATTTAAGCAAAAAAAACAAAAACGCAATCCTATCTCAGGATCTACGTGGACAGAGATCGGAGGGAGGATGGCTCCAAGTTGCTACGATGTAAGAGCTGCATGTCGCATAATTACGATGAGAAGGCAGGTTCAACTCCCAAAGACGGCAATTTAAAAAAAGCTGTTAACAAACCCCACAACAATTCACACTCTTGGTGTTTCTCTTCTCTCCCTGTGTGTCAGCTGACTTCCCTCCACCTTCCTCTCCACCCACCTACTACGCCCCTCCTCCTGCCTCTGGTAAAATCAGTAAAATCAATTCATTTTTCAACAGAGAGCAATCAGTTCGCAAGCTGCTCTCCACAAACATGTTTACGCTGTTAGAGCTCATTTTCTGAAGTTTGAACCTTTACTAATAAATATTGTTTGTCACATATGGCAGTGCTACAGTACTACCATGTATGTTATGTACTACAGCGCTGTACTTTGGTAACTGAGGCTGATTTAAATAATGTAACTTTGACCTTATTCCACTCAATCACATTTTATCTTATTTTTAAACGTTGTACTCTCAATGCCTTAGCAATGAAATTGTACACAGAGAAGTCACAGCACTCCAATCCAACCAACCAACAGCCGACACAGGAACTATATTAACTATATTACTAATATAAGGTTCATCTGTGAGTTGGTAGGCACATCTATTTGTTACCGTGGTAAATGATGCAGCTGAGCGTCTATAATGTGAATTCGCATGGCATTTGTTCACTGCTCTGGTGTTATGAGCAGATATGCTGATGTGCTGCCACTAAGTTGTTAATGAAGCTGTGATGTGATACTGACCGTGCATTTTTAAATAGAACTTTCCAGCACTTTGAACAAAGTACTTTCTTATGTATGAAAAACTGCAAACAGGCCTTGACTCACATTAGCAGTATTAGCATGATGATCAGCAGTGGTTGTGTTCCCAGTTTAGGATTTGAGTATTCAGTTACTAACAGATGGATCCAGCCAGTATTACTCATGGTAGCTGTAGTAAAGGTTATAGTACTGAAAACATAATTTGTAATTACTGTTATCACTTCGATTGTTGCTTTTGTTTCAGTACCTAGAGTTGAGGTGGTCCTGACAACCTCTGACCTCTGTAGAAGATGGATGACCTCCATCCAGGAGCTGCTGAACTATCTGATTAACATCCAGGATCCTTCCCATCAGGCTGTTCATCTCCTGGTCCAGGCTCTCAAATCTGCAACATGAGGGTTGTAGTTTTGAACTGCAAAAGTTGGACTCAGCCAATTCTTGGTAACAGTTTAGACAACAAGACAGACACTGACCACCCAGCTAAGCTTTGGTAGGCCTGAGATGGTAAAACCAACTGCCTTTAGCCATTCTGTCCTCCTTCCCCTCCTCCTCACCTGTGTGCCACGACCTCCACATCCTCCAGTTTTTCTGGGATCTCCATCCTTTCCAGCCACTGCTCCTTCTCGTCAATCCACAGCTCGCAGGCATTGACCTCGCTGAACATGCGGTACACAGCGAGGGCGTCGTGAAGCCACTGCTGTCTGAGCACTGCGATTTCAGCAACCTCTGTGTACAGCTGCTCCACCTCTCCCATACGAACCTGCACCTCCTGCAGAGAGGAGGATGGACGAGGAGACAGGACGAGATGGTCGGACAAAAAGTTTATTAAATAATAAAGACATGGGAAGTGAAACATCCTTTTTTTGTTTGATTGTTGCGCCCGTACCCACCTCCTGTTCACGGTACCGCAGGGGTAGCGCCACCATGTGTTTGCGCAGTGCCACTACATGCAAACGATGTTTGTCAATGGCTTCACTGACCCCTCTGTGTTTCTTTAGCAGCGATTGAGTGGAGTACTCATCGTGTCCAAAGTCTTCACTGGACACCAGGCGGTAAGCGTCCTGCAGCCAGGCCACGACGTCGTCCGTCTCTGTGGAGAACTGGAAGAAGTTGAGCGCCTCCTGCAGATGGCTGAGATGCTGCGCAGCCTGGTCCTCCAGCCTCTTCCACTCGCCTTTAACCTCCATGATGCGCTCCTGGATCCCCGCTGTGCCAAAGCTCTTCTCACTCAGAATCTGCTTCCCTCGCTTCATGGTGTTCTGGATAGGAGGAAAGATATTTGACTCATTTGAAAAATGGCCACTTCTGGCTTGAGAAAACGCTTGATTTGCATGTGGCTGAAAAACAAATAAACCCTAAAGACCAAGAGACCTGGAGACCCTAGATCTAACATATTCATATTGTTCTCTTTCTTGTTTTCATTAAAAAGACCACCTGGTGCTTCAAAGTAAAACAAGGAGAACATGAAATTAATATCAACCAATAGTATATAAAAGCTATTGGCTGATATAGCTTTTAATGTGGGCCAGCAGATACATCCTCAAAACGTGAACTCCAAATGTTCTGTTAGGAGAAGTTGGATGGGTCTTTTTTTAGATAAACTAAAAGAAATGTATAAATGTAAATGCATAAATTTACTGAAGTCTGTGAAGTTTGGAGAAAAACTCTTACAGCAGTACATTTACCAGGTGCAGAATTGAAAACACGCACCTGCAGCAGTGAGCGGTGAGCCAGCAGTTCCCCAGCCAGAGTCTTGTGCTGTTGCAGTAACCTCAGCACACTGCTCAGGTCCTTCCCGTAGCCCTGAGCTCCCAGGATGGAGCTTTTCTCTCTGATCCAGGCCTCCGACTCTTCCAGCTCCTAATAGGACAAAAGACAAGTTTTAAAGCAGGACAATATTTGTAATGGAAAAATGAACAGGTTTAATGATTGGGTGGGGCGATTGGTGGTGCCTGGCCTGAATCCAGGGTGGGGTCTTTCTGTGTGGAGTTTGCGTACTGTCGCCATGTCTGTGTGAGGACTCCTGGTTGCTCCCATAGACATGCATGGGGCATAAAAAATGTTCAAAGCTTTCTGAAGCATCCAAGCTCCTCAGATACTGGCTCCTAGGAATAATCCCGGCAAGTTAATCCCGCCATTTTCCCCACAGCCTGCTGACCCATCTCACCTGAAAGAAGGCCCACAGTTTCCTTGACTCCTCGAGCTCAGCACGTCTTTTAGTTGCCAGGTGTTTCAGCTCCTCCAGACAGGAAGAGACATGGTTGACACGGTTACAGATCACCTGTGGGTCACATGGTTGGTAACCTGTAAAAATGAGACACAGCATTAAATTTATTAGAACCGTGAGTCAGACACAGGATATCAACCTACTCACACCAAGCCTTAAATACCAATTTTCCAATCATTGCTAAAGACAAATAAAATAAAACACTTTCACTGCAACACAATGTGTGTGTACATGCGTGTACCCTCTATTGTGGTGAACTTGAGTGCAGCAGTGTTGAGCGTCTCGACTCTCTCAGCCTGCACAGTAATATCGGCCTCCTGCAGGCCGTGCTTCTGCAGCAGGTCGTCCACCTCCAGTAGATGTTTCCCAAAGTCCCTCGAGAGCAGCTGGACCTGAAAGGAATGAAGCAACGGGAGGGAAGAAAGGCGAGAGAAATTAATGGAAGAAGAAACGATGAAACCAGGGGTTTCAATAATAAATTTTGATATCTGTGTTTATATACACACATGAAAAAACTGAAGTGTATGTAGGACTCTAGTTACAGAGTTGCTTTTGACCCCAGTACTCGTATTTTAGGTGTAGTGTCCTTTTCATTTTACGTCTCTCACGCTCTCTAGTACCTGCATGTCCTCCATCCAGTCAATCATGTACACCATGTCCTGGAAGGTCTTCTGCAAGGCCAGATTCTTCTCCAGCCGGGTCCTTCTCCCAGCCACCAGCTCCTTCAGCAGACTCCACTGGCCCAGGATATTCTCTTTACGTGCCAAAATACGCCGGATATCGTAGTATCCTTCCACCTCCATCTCCGCGGCGAGTTCCACAACCACGCCAATTCTTTCCTCGTATGAGGCTATGTCTGCCTCGATGGCTTCGTGCTTCTTCATCGCTGCCTCGACTGCTGGTAGGTCATAGCCAAAATTGTCCTGAAGTCGAAGGGGAAAACAAAGAAAGTCGTGATCTTAGATTTAATGAAACAAGTACCAGTAATACACTGAGACATTTGTCCCCCCTACCTGCGATACGAGTCTCTGATTCTCATTGAGCCAGGCTTGCCTCATGGTGGTTTTGTGGTCAAAGCGCTGAGCCAACAGCTCAAGCTTCTCCTGGCGAATCAGCTCCTTCCGTAAAGCTACACCCCTCTCGTGCTCTGCCTTCTCCAATCTCTCCCAGGCCTAGAAGATGAATGACAAACTGATTAACAGTGTTGGAGAAAGGATTAAATGTTATATATAAAATATAAACAACACAGCTTATGGGTGTATGACCTTGTTAATGTCTGAGATGAGCTTCCCATCATTAGGCACATAGGGTTTCTGGTTATTGGCTCTGAGTTTGCTTTGGATGGTGAAGAGAAGGACCTCGAGATTACCCTTCTCCTGAAACCTGGATGAGAAGCAGGAAGCTTTAGTTGGTGGGTCAGTGTCACAGTATCGCAGTCATCTCAGCAAAAAATCACTCAAACAGCACGAAAGCTTGTTGACAGACGTGTTTCTGTCTGCTGTCCAGGGTTGTGCTCATTAATTACTCACAGAGAGTCTACATTTAGTCTGAGAACAGTCTTCTATTAAAATATCCACTAATATGTATGCACATCTGCTTTTGTGCCAGTTTCACAAGTCAACAGCTGGCTGTGAGCTGCTTAAGTCACCCAGAGCCTAACAAGGCCTATTGTATCATAGCAAGACTGTGAACGTGTGTGTGTATAGGCTCTGTGGGTATCATTGCTGCTGACAGTACACTCTGAGGTGTCATGAGTCTAGTACTCTGTGCTTTTTCACTGCAAAAAAACTCAAACATTCAAATGTATAATTTTACAGTTAAGGAAGTGAAATCATCCTGTGAGCAAAAAAGGAGCCAACAAATTCATACACTGTTTAGGAAAGCTGCACTTTAGTAGGAGTCACATAAAATTACACTACTTCATCTAAAATACACAATAACTCTCATAACTAATGTAAAGTATAAACGGTCTCTAGCTACTGTTTCACATAATTCTGGCTTCAGACGCTTACAGTCCATCAGTAATGTTTCTGACTGACACAGCTACACACATACACAGCAATCTTATTTTTCTCTAATAGGGTGAAACATAAAACGTATATGGTATAAGCACAACAGTGTATTTTTCACAAGACTGGCATAAATTAAATGCATTAATTACATTAATAAATAATAAATTACTTAGTAAAGCAGATATAAGCAACTAATTCTCACACTTGAGAAGCTGTAGATTAACTGTTTTGAATCACAGCTGGTCACACCAGGTTACTGGTAGCGGTCACAAACCGAAGCTTATTTTACTATATGTGATGTGGTACAGTGGTCAGTCGTTTATCGTGGGAGTTATGTTCCAAAAATAGGTGATAGATGAGTAGCAAAGTAGCCAACTTTATTTTTTCCAATTATTATAGATGTTTTAAGACCGTAAAACCCCTCACTACACGCTTTATACACTTTTCTCAGACAGGCATGAACATTTTCACACTTTTCTCTCTTGTTTGATGGCGCAAAACGTTTCGTCGACATTGTTGCGTTTGTTGGGAGAAACCTTACAAACATACAGTAAAGCACTTCAGAGTCACACTGCTAGCGATCAAAGATTTATGTAAATTTGACAAACTGAACACATTCTGTACTGTACAGGAGACACGGCACCAGATTGATTGACAATGGTCTACAGCCAATCAGGACGCAGAACACAATGCGCTGCAAAATTGCACCCAAAAAATCAGCGAAACAGCGAGGCTGCCAAAAGTGAACCGCGTTATAGCAAGCGACCACTGTATTACATATTTACATAATTAGTTGGTGTTGTTCCTCCAGCTGCTTCTTTTTAGTATCACTTTGTTTTCCAGCTTGAAGTTGGCCCCAAGGTTTTGGAGATGCTTTGCTGTCGTCAAATTCTTCCAATTATACCGTTTCTTATGAGTTTAAGACATTTGCAAATCAAATCAAACGTTTTACACAGCGTCACAACTTTTTTGAAATTGGGTTTGCACATGTGGTGTTAAAAAAAATGACAAAATATGTTAATCTGGTATTTTTAAAGAATCATCAAACTTACTTGATGGGCTTCTCTATAGTGCAGTAGGTGGTGAAAGCCTGCAGCTGCTGCTGAACTCCGGTCAGCGAGTTGGCAAACTTCTGGTTGCTGATGACCGCGATGGTCTTCTCTATCCACTCGAGGAGCTCAGATGCCAGAGCGTCATAGCGGTTAACAATCTTCTCTGCCTCAATGCAGTTGTCTAGCACCTGGTTCAGAGAGAAGAAAGTTGCGAGGAGATTCTGAGAGCAAGATTGAAGTATGAGGCTAACAAAAAAGGCAGGAATAACCAAGAAACCCTTTAAGAATCATAATATTTAAATCCCTCTAAGGTCTGCATGTGCTAGTAAAGTGATATTACAATCATATTATTTGTTTCAGACTGCCTGCCCTTCATGTTTTAAAGCAATAGTGGCTCATTGATCTCCTCTCTGATGCTGTCAGTATGCAGGTTTTGTAGCCATATTTGGGAGAGCATGTGCGTTACCTTGCCAACGCGCTTCCCCTCCACAATAAGAGCCTTCATCTTAGAGAAGTAGTGGTAATAGGAAACCACGTATGTAATGATGGACTTTTCATCTGGGTTCTCGGTGTTCACATCTGCACAGGAGGGAGGTGACAGAAACGGAAAGATAGAAGAGTTAGCATCACCTTTAAGACCGGCACTCCTTCCTCTTAACATACAAGGAGCTGATTGTTTCTAGTATAGATCAGCACCACGGTCACTCGTCCATAAGATTTGAGAGTCTGAGTAAGTCTGAGTAATGGCTCAAGTCTTATTAATACATCAGATCTGTGCATGTCTCTCCTGCATAATTCTGAGCTCACTGTAAGACGTGACTGAAAACAATGTGTGGGAAAAAACATGCTTTCAGCTGCCATCTCATGGCCTCACCCTTCCACACAACTCACAGAAGGAAAAAAAAAAAGCTACATACGTTTAAAAAGCTTTTTTATTGCACACTTGGACAAAGTCTGAGCACATTTTCAGCGCCCACACATTTTAGAAGAGTTAAACATTTTAAACTTCCCTTACATAGCCTTTATCCTTGTCTTTTTAATCCATCATAAAAAGATTATAATGGAATGAGTATATGCATCGGCCTTTCTGGTAAAAATTGAACGTTAGTTCTAGTTTTGGGTACTGTTACATGCTTTATGTTTTAAAATCAGTTAACTTATAATGTTTGAAAGAAGCAAGCTGTGAGAACCTTTGAAGCGTGAGTTAATCTCACGTCTCCCATTTCTGTGAAAAAGAAAAATGTTGTCTATCTTACTGAGTGCAGCAGGTTTTGCACCGTTTTGGATGTTGCAGCATGGAGTGTGGTTTGCATGACTCTCACCCTCAGGGTCCAGGAGTTTCGTGAGGCCCAGGTGCTGCTCAGCGATGTTAAAGGCTTGCTGCAGGTTGTGGGTTGCATTGGATCGTGTCAGCTTGTGGAACTCTATTAGATCAGGTCTGGAGGGCACAACATGAAAAAAACAAAAATTTGTGTATGGTTGTGATTTTAAAATTTCATGTCAGTCACACCCGCTTCTCCGTGTTTATTTAAATGTGTGTGTGAATATTTTTCGTCTTTTTGTTGGTAACGTGTTTGCATCTAAAAAAAGGACTAAAAACACATACTAACAGTGCTGGTTCTATGCTGTGTACGTGTGCCCTACCTGTGTCTATGTATTAGGGCGTTGAAGGCAAGGCCGTCCCTCCAGCAGGTGGTGAAGTTCTGGATGTTGACCTCAGAGTACCTGCGACATGGAGAAATGCTTTCTAATCCTAAAGAGCTCCAAATTACTCTCACTACATTCTGACTAGATATACAGTATAACACCTAAATGATCATGAAATCTGCAGTTTGAGCTTCTAGTTTCTGTGTTTTTATTTCACTGCTCACCCTGCAGTCTTCATCTGGCACCAAAGCAGCAGCGCATCCTTGGCAGAGCGGGTTTCTCTGTTGTCCTCCGTCTCTATTTTGATCACCTGGATCTGAACAAGAAGAAGACGAACCAAGAGTTTAGTGTTTTCTGTCTGTCCCCGAGACTCATA